AAAATGTTATCAATTATTTTAAATCATTAAGTAAATTTATATTTAAAATATTTTAAATAAAATATTTATATAAATGAAAAATAGTTATCGGTTTAAAAATTATTTTTTTAGTGATCTGAAATTTTAGTCACTAAATCAGTTACTAAATATAAAAAAAATCAGTCACTAATTTCAGTCACTATTAACCATTTTTGTAGTAAATAATTACATAAATTAAATATAGATTAATTAAAAAAATAAATCAAATAATAAAGTGACTAAAATAGTAACTCGATTTTTTGTGACCGAAAATTCGGTTACTATTTCGATTACTAGACTAAAAAATAATAATTTGGTTACTGATTCGGTCATCGATAGTAACTAAATTTTTCGGTCATCGATTTCGGTTACTATTTCACATTTTTCTAGTAGTGAATTATTCCCACTCTTTTTAAGAAAGGTTACATTAATTATTTTTAATAGATTATTTTCCCATTTTAAAAAGTTTTAAAAAAATCAAAATATTTTTTTAGGACATTTTAAGTTAATTGTCACTTATATTTTACTATATTATATACCATCAATATATGTAAACTATAATTTATATTAACCAATAATATTATGGATAGTTTATTATTTTTCATATTTCATCTAACTTTTTCATTAATTAATAAAATTTGCTTAATCTAAAAAAAATTGTAATAAATGATGTAATGAATCTAATTAAAAAGAAAAATGATTAATTCTATATCAAATTATTAAAATATATTTTTTATACTCGATATTTTTTTAGTTGAAATAAAGGTTGATTAGTTTATCAATTTTAGTGATTCTCGACACGTAAAAACCTTTTAAGGTTTACTTGTGATGCATTACACAGGGGCTTGAATGTATGTTGATGTAAAAAAACAGGGTGGTGACATATGCTTTCATGTAATTAAAGACTTAGGAAAGAAATTACCCACCAAACGAGTTAGAGTTAATAACTATTGTGTTTGCGTTGAAGACCTGAAGACATTATCTTTATGGTGCTTAGTTTCTTGTGTTCAGTTATCCGAAGAGCCTTAAGTACTTATTTAACCAGAAGGAGTTGAATATAAGGTAGAGGAGGTGGATGAAGTTCTTGAAGGACTATAACTTCCAACTGATGTACCACCCTGGGAAGACGAATTTGGGCGTAGATGCCTTGAGTAGGAAGATAGTACAAATGTCTACTTGAGAAGTTCAAGGATTTGAGTTTAGGGATGAAACTGTTTTCTGTCAAAATTAGATGTAACAGGATAATTATGACTAATGACTTCTTTGAGAGAATGAAGGAGAGGCAATTGGTGGATCATAACCTAAGGTGCAAAATGGAGTTATTAATTAAGGACTGAGCATGCTAATGATTTTGTTTTAATAACTGATGGAATTTTAAGATTTAGAGGCAAAGTATATGTCCCTGCAGACAAGGAGTTAAAGAGGATGATATTAGATGAGGACCATAAGAGTAAACTTAGTCTATATCTCGATATGACTAAGATGTATCAGGACTTGAACGAGTTTTTTTATGGCTGAACATGAGAAGAGAGGTGATACAATATGTCTCTGCTTGTTTAACTGGTAAGAAGGCTAAGATAGAACATCAAAGACATGGAGGAATGTTGCAACAATGGGATGTGCCTAAATGAAAATGGGATAACATCGTCATGGATTTGTTATCCATTTACCACGATCAGTGAGGGAACATGATGTTATATGAGTAATTGTTGACCGACTTACGAAGAATGTTTACTTCCTGCCTGTGAGTCTGAGGATTTCTATGATCAAGCTTGCACAACTATATATGCAAGAGATAATGAGTCTGCATGAAGTTCCATCTAATATAGTATCATATAGAGACTCCAAGTTCACCTCACGATTTTGGCAGATTTTGCAGGATGCTTTGGGAACTAAGTTGAGATTTAGTTCTACCTACCATCCTCAAATACATGGTCAATATGAGAGGACAATCTAGTCCTTTAAAGATCTGTTAAGGATGTGTGCACTTGATCATCTGAGGAGTTGGGATGAGATGCTTCCACTGGTAGAATTCACCTACAGCAACAATCACCATGCAAGCATTGGGATGACATCCTATAAAGCATTATATGGGAGAAAGTGTAGGAATCCTCTTTTTGGTATAAGGATGGTGACATTTGTTAGAATCGCGCAGCGGAATGTTCGCGTGGTCGGACAAAAACCAAGAGGGGAGGTGAATTGGTTTCTTAATAAAAATTAGGTTTTCAAAATTTTCCCCAAATTTTACCGATTAAAAACTGCGTAAATGTAAATAGAGAAGAGTAGAGAAGATTACACAGTAGGTTTATACTGGTTCGGATCAAAAGACCCTACGTCCAGTTGCTAATCACTCAAAAGAGGATTAACGCTGTCACTAAGAACAAATTGTTATAAACAGATTACAAATCAAAGAGATAAAGTAAAGACAACACCTCTCTTGAAATCCACAAGAGATGAAGAACAGTTTTCCCTAGAGACGGCACAGCACACAATCCACTAAGAACTCCACTTAGTGATTCTTATCGCTTCTAGCCTCACACCAGGTTCCAAAAGCCCCCTTTCCTTGCAACAAACAGTTCTCCGGCACTCACAACACTTAACTTTTGTATGGAAAGAGTTGTTCTTGTTTTCCGAGTGCCAAAGGAGAGTTTAAGTAGGGAAATTAGGGTTTAGAAATTGGGGATTTCGAAACTAGGGTTCTTGGTAATTGGGTTTTCGAAAATAGGGTTTGTTTGATGTTTAAAATCGAAACAGATCGAAATAATCGATTAAATGGAGTTTTAATCGATTAAAACGAAGCCAAATACGTCGAACCCAATCCTCTCTGGTTTAATCGATTATTTGGTGAAATAATCGATTATTCTGTACGGAACGGTACGAAATAATCGATTATTTTGCTTTTTAATCGATTAAAACAGTGACTTAGTATAGAAAGTGGTTTTCTCACTGTTTTAATCGATTATTTACCTATATAATCGATTAAAGCCAAGCCTGCATGATAAATTTGAGCATTTTGAAGCTTCTAAGTTATAGACTATGTACCGGCTATCTTAGACTCTATAATTACAGACTCAATCAAACTAAAACAGAGTTATTACAATACAGAAATCATCAATCTTCAATCTTCAATACTCTAAGTCTTTAAGCTCTTGGATCATCATCAAAATCAACATTCTTCATGATCATTATTTGCAACATCAAGTCCTTGAATGTTCAACAACATTGTGTTGATAGGGTCTGAGTTGCTTCAACAAACTACTGACTAGGTTCGTCAGATACAACAGTGGACAAAGGCTTCACAAAATAGACAAAAATCATATGTAGATCAGAGATGATAGCCTTTAGAATTTGATCTTGGGGATATGTATTTCTTAGAGTGACGCCCACTGTAGGTATAGAGAGTCATGAGGCCTAATAAACTTTCTCCTAATTTATTGGACCATACCAGATTCTTAGAAGAATTGATCCGGATCTTCTTAGGAGCTGAGGGGGGTCGTGACCCCCCTAAAGTTTTGTAACTCCCATGTAATTTATGACTTTGACCCCCCAAACTTAATGAACATTTAATATATTTACAATTTTATCCTCTTAGCTCATCCTCAGCTTTGTAACTCTCATATAATTTATTATTTTGTCCCCTCAAACTTAATGATCATTTAATATATTTAAGTATATATCTACAATTTTATCTTTTCACCCTTTCATCTTCTTTTTTTATTTTATATTTATTTATTATTTATTAATAATATTATTTGGCTCCCTCAAGATCAATGTTCAAGATTCATCACTGACCCAGTAGCTTATGAAGTGATTTTGTCTCCCCAACTAGTCAATCTGCATAATGTCTTCTATGTATCACAGTTGAGGAAGTATGTTCCTTATCTTAGTCATGTGTAGGAAGCATACGAAGTACAAATTAGAGAGGACTTATCTTGTGAAGCCATACCAATTAGGATCACTAATCATCATACCAAGTAACTTAGGCATAGACAGATTAGTATATGGTGAAAGTATTGTGGAATGTCAATTGAGATGATGCAACATGGGAAATGAGGAGGATACTAGAAAAACTTATCTTTACCTTTTCTTACTAAGTAGAATTTCCGAGCATGAAAATTTTTCTTCTTAAAAGGAATATAAGGATTGAAACTTTAGTAGTTTAAAAAAATAATGATTAAATGAAGTAAAAATTTTGAAAATAAAAATAGTTTGAATAGAAGAAAAATTCACTAGTCAAATTTAATAAAAATTCATTAATATTAATATTAATTCTATATGTATGTATTCGTTACAAACCCAATAATATTAATTAATATATTTATTACAGATAATATATAATTAATATAATACACAGTATATGTTTAATATACTAAAAAAATATTAATGGATGCATTTAATTAATATTTAATGTAGTCATTGTTCTCACTGAAGAATTTTTTAATATTAAATTTGATAAAAACTAATAATTCATGTTTATCCTGTTCTTCATCCTCCTCATGTCCGAGTCAGTTTAGATCTATATATATAGGATAGGGTGATATGATCTAAAATGAAACAAAGAAGAAAGAAAAGCCTGAGGTATGCTTAAATATTTAGATATTGAAGAAAGGGATGAGTGCAGAGGAAGAGATTTGTGTTGAAAGAAGATGATCTATATTCATCTCAACATCAAATCAAGGAAGTACCAAAGGTGTTTTATACAACTTTTTTTCATTAATCACATTCATAACCTTTAATCTACTTTTTGTATCTCTTTATTTTTTTCATTACTCCTGTTTATTGCTTTATACTTTAGTATTTCTTAGTTTTTTCAATAAAACATTGCAGGAAAAAGGAAGATGCAGGATGAGGATGTGAATAAGAATGCATAGGTGGTTCTTGAAACCCTAAACCACGCACGCCATCCTTACATGTGTTTTCCTCATTATGCTTCTCTTTCGTGATTTGTTTTGTGTCCATATATACGAATACAATTATAACAGTGTGGACTCACACCCACACTCAGAAAGGGAGGTATTTGTGGCACAAACAGCGTGATCTCTGGTGAAAGAGTTGGGGGAGATGTTAATATGCAGTTCTTCTTCTACATCGAGAACATTTTGTTTGTTCATGGTGAAGCTGAGGCAGATCTGAGAAAAATATATGTACTGACTTCTCACATTATAACATTGTGAATGCAAAACAGATTCGAATGCTGTTTTTAAAGTTATGCCACGTTAGTTTTACTGTTTAACTTGTATTTGTTTTCATCAAAACCTCATCAAACACGTTGAAAAGCTTAGACAGATGGAGAGAATAAGTCAATGTTTGAAAGATTTGTTAGAAAGTGTGTGATGGAATGAAAGAGATGGAGATGAATGTTATCTTCGTTCATAATAATACTTCCACGCCAATATGTGCAAACCGCGTCGTCTCTAATAAAAGAGTTGATAGAGATGTTAATAGTCTTCTGAGTTTCAAATTGGATTGGTGTGAATAAATATTAAAGAAAATGAGAGTGCGATAGGTAGTATTAAGACGTCGGATATATCGAAAGGGATTTACTGGATAGAGATAATAGCAACAATGGCTTCAATTTTCATAACAGATTTACATGAATCTCTTGAAATTAAGAGGGTGACCCCGCTCCCCCAAATCAATTTATTTATTTATATATATAATAATTATTTTTTTAAAATTATATAAAAATGATTTTATAAATTAAATTTAGATTTTTTTATCTTTTTTCTTCTTCATTTTTTTTATTTATAATAAATATCATATTTATTTTTTATACAATATTTTACTTCTTAGATTTTAAGATTTTTATTCTTCTCTCTCATCTTTTCATTTTTCCATTTTTCTACTACAACTTTTTTTCATCACATAACCATTTTATCTTTTCATATTTTTATCTTTTATTTTTATCACTTATTTGCTCTCGTATTTTTTCTTTTTTACTATTTCACTTTACAATATAAAGATTGTAAATTTTATCTTTATTTTTTAAAAATTTTCTCAATAATATAAAAATTATAATTTTTTAGTTTTTAGTTTTTTTATCTTTTCTAAAAGAGGCACAAGATAAAAAGTTAAAAAATAAAGAAGATACTTCACTATAGATAATTTTATTTCTTTATTATTTTTATCTTTTATTATAAGAAATTAGCATGTGTAATGTAATATAAAAATATAAAATATTGATATAATTTTTTTGAGTACTTATAAATTAATTTGTTATTTTAATGTTTTATAATACTCTATTTTGATATTAAAATGTGTAAAAAAAAATCAATTTGAATTTCAAAGGTATCTAAAAATAAAATTATAGACTTATTTGTAAAAGAAAAAAATAAATGAAATAAACTTTTTTTTCTAAAATTTAAATTCAATTATTATATTTATATGATAATTAATTTTTATGTGTTCATTCCTTTATCTAAAATTTCTTGTTTTGTACCAATTTATAAGTTACTTAGCTTTTTTATTTCTAATTTTTCGTTCAAGTATGATTTCCTTTCGTATTGATATATTATTCTCTCGGAAATATTTTTTAACCATAAGTCTCTAATAGTAACTTTATTTGTAAGGTTGTTTATTTCAACCAGTTTTTCTAAAATATTTATCACCTGTCAATTGATATAAGATCTTTTGAAACAGAATTATATTTTAATCATGAGTACGCAGTAGTAACTTTAAGGTAGTTAAACACAATAACTCTTTGTTAGGAAGACTTTTAATATAAATATTCACTATTTAATATTTTTTACTTATTCTAATTATACTTAACGAAATTAGTCACCACATGAATAATTGGCTCTAATATCACTATTAAGTTTTTGGAAAATTTATGAAAAAGAAAACATTAATTATGAATCGTTCTTACTTATAAATTACTCGACTCTATCGTTTTTATATAAAATAAAACTTTAAATTCACACTTAAATGCTAAACAAAAGACAAGAGGGCAAGACAACATTATAATGATACAAGGTGGAGAACAATAATGTGGACAGAAGGAGAATGCAATGAGGGCAAAAGCATATTGGAGAAAACTTTGTCCCCTTTTCTGTGCAAAGTCTTTTATATAATAGATGTTAAAAATCACTCAGTTATTTATTGGCAAAAACACTTTTATTGCTTTTTCTCTCATTTGTGAAATAAAAGAGACTCATATTAATATCTAAATCACTCAGTTATTTATTGGCAAGAATTTATTGTTTTGGTGAATTTAAGTCTGGAAAACTAGAAACCACTACCCAAAAATGAGGCCATTACAGTTGGGCTCCTCATGATGGTAAATTTCTTACGGCGAATGTAAGTGAAAGTACAAGATATTGGCATCCTGTGGAATATACAAGATATATATAGAGTAAAAATATTAAATTTATAAGATTAACATGATGCAATAAAACAACAATTACAAAATATTATTTATTTATATTAAATTGAAAAGGTTAAAATGACACTTAATAATAGAATATAAGTACAAACTACACTTAGTTTGAGATTTATTTTTTCTTTTTACATGATAATTATTATGGGACATAAAGAATAACAAATATTATTGCATTGAAAAAGTTAAAACGAAACTTCCTCTACATCATATCTTTTTTAGCAATTCTTTTCACCCTAATTAACCCTCTAAACCCTACCACTTCTCTCTCACACAGCCAGTGGCAGATCTTGAGAGCTGAGGGGAGCCATGGGACCAAACTCGTATGTAAGTTTTGATATTTTTGGTCCATTCTAACATAATGAACATTTAATATATTTATTTGTATATTTACAATTTTATCCTCTCAGTCCTCTTTAGTTTTGTAACTCTTATATAATTTATGATTTTATTTCCTCAAACTTAATGATCATTTAATATATTTAATTATATATCAACAATTTTATTTTTTCACCTTTTCATTTTTTTATTCCTTTTATATTTATTAATAATATATTATTTGCCTCTCAAGATCAATAGTCAAGATCGGTATCTGATCGGAGCCCATTCCAAATGATCAAACTGGGAGGATTCATTATCTGCACGGCCACCAAGCTTTTCCAGAGCAGCCAACTTCATCTTCTTCCTACAAACATAATCGATTACAGCACAATGCTTCAAACTATTTGACATATTTTACATGATACAATAAGAGCACACATTAATTAATCCAAGAATAAATCAAATAAAGAAGCGAAAGAAAACAATATTTAAATTATGTTGATCTCTACCTGATAATCATCGGAATCTCGAAATTATAGTAGGGTCTTCTCTTGTCAGAGTATAGCGTTGTCGCAAACGATGCTGCAACATGAAAATGCCTCTTGTGGGACCTTCAAACATCATCGGAGCAACGCAATACTTTTCTGCCTTCTGAATTTTATAACAAAAAAGTATTATGCAGCAGAAAATGTTGATAATAAATAAGGCATTATACCATCAGAAATTCATGAGTTTTAAGAAATACAAAATGAATTAAGCTAAGAGCTTGAAAATGGAACAAAATTTAAAATGAATAGAGAAGAAAAGTAGTAAAGGTTATGGATCTGAGTAATTATAAAATGGATAGTTTGCATGTAATACCTTTGGTACTTCCTTGATTTGTTTTTGGATGAATAACATTGAATCTATCAAAATATCTTCTTGTTCCTCTTCATCTTTGCTCGCCATTTGTGCGAACTCTAAATATTGAAAGAGTGCTCACACACTATTATCTCTCTTGTTGCTCGAAAAGGGATAGCTTGATTGAAATTCCATGAACCTACCCTTTATATAGATCTAAACTGAGTGGACCTGAATAGGATGAAGAAATGTGTGATACTGAACTGAAAATTTTTTATTATTTTATTTTTCAATTGAATATTAGATGAATTTAAAATAAAAAAGTAATTTATGTTAAACTAAATTAAACTTAAAACAAAATTAAGAAAGGGAAATGTTTGGTATAAATTTTTAGTTTTTAATTAGTCTAAATATGAGAATATACTTATTTTTCATCTTTACTTACATTAATATTCTCAAGACACATCATTTTCGGTATTTTTTTTTCCTATATATTTTTTATTAACTTTCCTAATTCTCAACTTATTAGATTTTTTTAAGATTAAATAAATATTTGTATTTAGCAATAATTACATTTTTATTAATATATATATATATATATATATATATATATTAATAAGCATTTAGTAATTTTTAAAGTAACTGGTATCTCATAAATATTGCATTTAATAATATTATTAATTATAATAAAAAATATTGACTGTAAACAGATCCAAAATTAAATGATATTTAAACGCACACATTAATATTTTTAATATATTAATTACTGTGTAATGTCAATTATAACTGCAATAAATATATTAATTAATGTTAATGTATTTATATTAAACGTGTAGTAACATGTACAGACGCGTAATATTAACTATTTATCATATTTATTAAATAGTAGTATTTAATGTTTACGTTGATACTTATTAATGAAGAAGATTGATATATCTAAACTATTATATATATATATATATATATATATATATATATATATATATATATATATATATATATATAATATTCCTTTATATCTGTTTTTTATTCATTATTTATAAGTTAGAATTTTATTTATCAAATATGCATTTAAAAGGGGATTTTTTTTTATAGCGCTAAAATGATAGATAATATTAAAAAAAAATACTTATTATAATATTTTATATTTTAAAAAATAATAAAAATGGAAGAGAGAAAAGAGTGTGATATATATAAAATTTAATATATATATATATATATATTTAAAAAAATTAAAAATATTAAAAAGTGCACACGTTACTAGCATTAATAAAAATATGGTAAGTATAACTCTTAGTGTGTGTAATCTCTTTCTTATTTATCCTTTATATACTATGTAATTTAAAAAAAAATTCTTAGTTATTTTTTAAAATAATAAAAGGCACTGACATGTGAAACTTTTTTGTTATATACGCGTTTTTTTATATAATAAATTGGTTTTTATAACTATTTTAAAAAATAATTTTATCTATAATATTTTAATAGTTTTTTTATATATCTAAAATACTGACACACAAATATTATTAAACTTCTGTTTCTATTAATATTAATAAAGTGAGTGATAATTAAGAAAATACATATTAAAAAAAATATTTAATAACTTTATAATAACAAAACCGTAATAATCAATATAAATTGAATAGAAAAGTATTAGTTTCATGGGTACAGATTTATATTAAATTAAAACTAAATTGAATCCTACTTATTTTTTATATTTAATTCGAATAACTAATTAATAAAAAATTAAACTAATTCAAATTATATATATATATATATATATATATATATATATATATATATATATATATCGTAGAAATGGTCATGTATTTAATAAATATAGTTTCTTTTTTAAAAGATTTTATAAATATGATATTTAATATTATTATTAATTTAAATAGACATTATAGATTTAATTGTATTTTTAGAAATTTAAGGAATATTAATTTTAGTTCCCCCATTTTAAAAAATTTATTTTAATTCCTCAAAATTGATATTCTAGTCCCTAAAAATAATAATTTTTTAAGATTAAAATGAGCTATTAAAAAATAATTTAATCCTTCAAATTCAATATTCGGGGACTAAAATCACATTTGATTAAAATTTGAAAGATTTTATTTTTAATGTAAGGGACTCATTTTTTTACATACTATAAAATAATTAAACTTATATAATATTTAGTAATTACAATAAATCATGTTATTTAATATTTATATTATTACTACATTAATAACATTAAATGATGCATTTATTAAATACTTACATTATAAATTAAAATTATCATAATAAAATATAATATTATGCAGGCTTGAATAAGTTTTAGCTTCTTATTGTAATACATATTTTTGTTGAAATTTTTTCTTCAAAAAAAGAGCTTTATAAATTATAAAATTTTGGTTTTCCTCACTACAAATATATTATAGGTATTTCGTATGTTAACTTTTTTTAATTTAAGTGATCCTAAAATAATTTAAAAATTTTCCCCTCAATCTATATTTCACATAACAATTAATAAGTTGTTCATCATATGATCGTGTTTCACATGTTTGAAGTTAACGAATAAATGGATAATAGAACTGAACGCTTGAACCAAACTTTTTAATTAAGATTTAAATGTCCTTTAAAAATGGGATAAATTACTTTATGTTAAAGAAAAAATCATTTTAGTTCCTAAAATTTAATATGATATAATTTTCGTTCCTAAATATTTAATTTGAATAACTAAAAACAGCATTTAAATTTTCATTTTAATTCTTCAAATTTAATGTTTAAGATAAAAATATATTTTCTCAATTTTCACGAACTAACATAATTTATTTCAATTTTGATGGATGATAAGTAATCTTCCTAACTTTTGTTGAATAAAAACTTAATTAAGTCTTTAATATCTTATAATTGAATAAAAATATTATTAGATATTCGAAACAAAATTTGATGATATATTATAAATTTAGAACTTCTATAAGCGGTAAGGCTTTAGTTTAAAGATAAATAGCGATTAAATAGAGTAAATTTTGAAATTTTTTTCTTATAAAATGAAAATAGTTTAAATAAAAAAGTTTTATGTTTCAAACATCATTATTAAAGAAATATTATTTCTTTATACTCTAAATCTTTTGACTTTTTTTTAAATTATTCAATTTTTATTTTTTTTTCTAGATCCAATTACATCATTGTGTTCCTAATGACGAGAAGAACATTTTCATCTGATCAAAATCTTAAATAGAGTAAGTTTTTTTTTCCTAATTTTAGAGTATTTTTATAAATTTGGGATTAAGGTTTGTAAGTGGGCATTCGAGTCTTGTATATGATCTTGGTGTACTAAAGATAAATTTTGACTAGTTTAGGAGCAATGTAATAGGCTCAATTTGTTAATTAGAGTTTTTTTGTGAGCAGGATCGGACTCCCTAAGAAATTGGGATTTAGAGTTTTCAAGCTTGAGAACACTAAAATTGGAAAGTAAGAGGAGAATTGGAAAGTAAGAGGAGAAGTTAGTTGTTCTTTGATTTCCATAGTACTATAGGTTAAAAGCTAGTTGACTATGGATGTGACTTTGTCACATTGTTTGATTTGCAGGAAATTGAGTTATTATATTGTATCTTAAATTCTGATTGAATGAATTAAGTTTAAAGTAATAATGTACATAAACGGTTGGGATATGATAGTTATAATTAATTGAGCTAGGTATGACATATCTTAAAAGGAAAAGAAAATTGAATAATAGAATCTCATAAGATAGTATTTAATGTCTATAGTGTAGTTTAACAAGAGTTTAATTACAAATTTGTTATATGTATATTCCGCTCAAACGATAATTGGTTGTTCAAGTGAAATGTGCAACAAAAGAGGAAATGGCTCATCTCAGGTGCATTTTCACTCAAGCGAAAAAATCTCCCGAGTGTCTCGGATGTATTTTCGCTTAAGTAAAAGTGAGTCTTGCTTAAATTAGAAAATTTTCACTCAAACAAAATTTCTTATAATTTTTTTAACCAAATTTTTAAAAATCATATAAAATAGCTCATAATTACAAATATAATGTTTCATATATACAAATTGAAGCCCCGAAAATAAGGAATCCAATGAAATAAAAATTAGTTAAAAATAATATTTGTAGAAAAATTTATGGTCAAAAGAATAGATAGAAGGTCAAATCCCACAAATTTATTCTTTGATGAAATGTTAGAAATGACATATACATGACTTAGGATAATAGAATACATGTATTAAACATGAAGTAATGTGTGTTGCGTGCTAATATATGTGTAGAAAAATATATTGTTGTAATATTAGAAATATCATGTGATACCTATATATTTATATTATGTTTGTGATGAATTGATAAAAGTTAACATAGTAGTTTCTAAGGAGGAGATACTATGTTAAGATGTAGGTAATATATTGAATTTTGGATTATGAAGGAGATATCGTAACTCTACCGATACTAGATTCACTTAGAGAAAAGTATCACATGATGAAAATTGAAGGAGGTCTCTATGACTTAGTTTGAACCAATAACTCATTCAAGAACCATGTGTTTCTCTCCGGCAAGGTAAAAGAAAATACTAAAACAAGGTAAACTTGAAAAGAATGGGAAAGATAGGAAATGATAAAAAGAACATGTTCCATTTGAAGAATCAAAGGATAAGTATAAGATTAATTTGTTACCAAAAAAACTTTTCAAAACAAGAACCTAACAAAGAATATCAAATACTCAAAACACCTAAATTATCTCTTAAATCTCTAATTTCATTCAATTTTCACTACAAAATCTACTTTTTACATTAAACTTTCTATATTGGTTTTTAAACAAACCGACGTAGAAAGTGACGCGGTGGTAATTTTGAAATTTTTTTAAAACTTTTCAGATCGGTTTAGTTAGGAATCGATGTAGAAAATATTTTCTACATCGGTTCCCAGATGAACCGATGTGAAAAATATTTTTATTTTAAAAAATTAATTAATAAAAAATTTAGACAAACTTTCTACATCTGTCTCTCTTACATGCTCATCTCCCTCCTGAGAACCTCCATTTTTACTCATTCTTCCCTTATTCCTCATTTCCAACCATTACCAAGACCCAACCTCTTAAATCCATTCTCCTGCCCCTTCAT